TAGACTCCCGGGCAGCGCTGCACTTTGCCCTGTCAAAACATTTCCATTCATTTCTTTTTCAGCAGTTGAAAAAAACTGTCTAACTAATAGTGTTAACTTGTTATTATACTGTAACTGTACTGTAATAGTTGAAACATTTAGAGAAAATTCATTTAATTGCCTTATAAGAAACTGATAAGTAAGGAAATCTGATGTGCTCTTTTCATAATTCATTTTTTAACGGCTGTAATGGGGGTGGTTGCAGTGCAGTGACATTACTGCTACAGTTCATCAGAGATCACTGCAGTATACAAATGCAGCTGTTTCTTTTGCTTTGGTTGAGGTGGGAATGTGCAGTGCCTGTGACAGTCAGGTGTTTTCATCTCTGTGAGTGTACGAGTCTTTTAGTAACGCAAGCTCCTCAGTCAGCGTGTGTCGGCTCACTGAGGTCAATCATCGAGTGGAGTCTTCTTAAAGCAGCCTCGTTGGTCTGCTGCCATTCAATTTGTTGCACGGAGAGGAGTGGGAGTGGGAGGACGAAACGACGATCAACAGTTTTCTGTCAGAGATGGGGATTTCTTGCTTTCATTCAGTTTTAAACAAATTCACTTTGTACTCTTGAAAGGAAATCCGAAGATCTACACCGCCAGGCTTACCCGCCCGCACAACAGAGCCGACTCATAACAAAGGGATAAAAGTCCAATCTCTGGATGAATTTCAGCACGCAAATCCAGGGGAACTACCGAGGTGGCACCGGCGAAAAAGAATATTACTCCTCACTTGTCCTCAAGTGCAATATACTGCAGATAGGAAAAGAGGCTCCGTCTCTACTGCCAAGAGGAGGAGACGCAACGCGCTGCGACAATCAGAAGATAATTACACATTTCATTTAGGCTTCAGTTTATTAGTATTTGTTTTTTCCTCTGCTATCCTCCTAACTTCAATGTGCAGCTCATGTTTCAAGCTTGTGGCAATCATCTGCATACATTATGCGTCTCACTTCAGGGCCTCTTCTGTCACAAAGGGTATACATTATACATGAAGTACTGTCAGACTAAAATGAACAATTAAAACTTCCGACTGCTGCAGACAGCTTCTGAGTCAGAGTTTGCTTTCTTCAAAAAAAAAAAAAACACACCCATCTGAATCCTTGTTAAAACCAAGTGGCAATAAAAAACTCTTCAAACGCGTATCACCAACAAATGAAACCTGTAATAAATACTTCACCAAAGTAATCATTATCATAAAAAATTTGTCTTTATTGTTCTGGCCAAAATGGAATTAACATGTATTATGTCGATATTGTGATATGAGACGAGGTAGCGTCTCTGATTTTTGGATATTGTAATACAGTAAAGTGTTCTCTCTCTCCTGGTTTTAAAGGCTACATTAAAGTAAAGGGATACCATTGTCTGAGCTCACAGCTTTACACACTTTGTCATTATATCCACACTACTGGTATTTGTCAAAAATCTCAGTGTGTAAATATTTTGTAAAAGCACCAAAGGTCAACCCGATAATATCGTTGCAATTTCAATATTGAGGTATTTGGTCTAGAGTTCTGTGTTGGGGCTGTGTATCCAAGCATCTAGATGATGCATTTGTGGGATCAAAGTAATTTCCGCATTAATCTAAGTGGTATTAATTGATAAAAAAAAAAGATTTGTTTTTTTTTTTTTACTAGTCTGACATAATATCACTGTATAAAGTCGTTATGCAGATCATGTTAGAAAAGAATGACCTAATTACACATCCAGCAGGCACAGAGCAACATTGGCATTCATTCGGTGTCATGTTTCTGGCCACCAGGCGAATGGAATTCCAATATTCACTTCCCTGTGATCTTTGGTCCGGGCCTCGACAACTCCTGTGAGAAATGCCTCTAATGCGGCTCAATAGTCATCTGATCCACTGATTATATAAAACATGAATTAGTGAAGCTTTATAGTTTCTGTAGGTGGTCCACGTTGGTTTTCATTACAATTATGATTTACTGTACGGCTCTCCAACCAAACCACAAGAATAGAAATGGCAGATCAGAAAACTGTCACATGACTTATTTTTTAGAATATAAATCAAAGAGAGTAAGTGTAAAATGATTCACCTCCTGTGCAGCAGAAAAGAGCTACCAAGACCTCTGTGAACTGTGTACCGGCTGGATCACGTCGCGTTGCGAGCAGCGAAAAACAGACGTTTACTTATAAGAAAAATAAATTGCAGTGTTTCTCCAAAGATGCTTAAGCTCTCCGATTCAAGGTCGAGATGTAAAATGGCCTCAAACTGTAACATATCCTCAGCGACTCGCTCTGCCGAGCGCGCCGCCACACCAATGACAACACCGCACATTCAGGGACAATGAGATGTCATTTACAGAATTGCACCCTTAGACGGCACCCGACAAATGACGCTGTAGTGCTCTGCCCTGCACTCTGTCACCAATGGCCCTTTTTCAAACACACACACACACACACACTGAACTGCACAGCAAACATCGACTGGCCACCGTTTCAACCCGGCCTCCAATTCTACGGCTAACCAGCGGCTATAAATCTGTCGCCATGGAGGTGAACATTAGCACCCGCTGCTGTAATACGAGCACTTAACTGTACAATTTGAGGTCCAATTGAGCAGATACATGAACCTCACCATTATGAGGGCTATCGCTGTCAACATTTGAGTGACTCTCCTTCCACGTGTCTCTCCAGCAGCCTTTGAATTCCCCTGCTAAGTGTCCTGAAACTGGCAATCATGGCCTCTGTGGAGATTTACATCATGTTGGTGATGGAAAATTCCACCATGAAAGCGTAAAAGATCAGTGGAGCTCTTTGGTGTGTTTTCCTTCCTGCGGTGGATAAGTGGCTAAATGACTTCAGCATGCCCAGCGAGCATTCTGGACATATACTAAAAGTATACGTGTGTGTTATAATGTGTTACAACGCACAACTGTATGAGCAGCATTTTGTGTTGGAGCTGATTTGAACTCTTTTCATATTATGGGGCCGATATATCAACAACGCATCATGTTGTGTAAAATAAACTACGATATCATTAAAGGTACAATTTTCTTTGAAATGCAGCGGAGAAGCGTAAAATTGCATAAAACTTAAATACCCCAGGAAAGTAAAGTAACTCAGAATTGTACTTCGTGCAGCACTACGCATTATTCCAATCCCAGTGTTTCTGCTCTCTAACCGTAAAACTACGAGTTGCGGATTGACGGGAGGGATGCACTGATTCAAACAGCTGGAGCTGGTGACAATGGAGCCCATCTATTCAATTGAACTCTATGTGTATACAGTATATATACATTATATACTGGAATTTGAATTCCTGTTTCATTTTTTCATTTCAAAAGTAAAATTTTGTTTTACACTGTTAGTAAAGCAATGTTTAAGTCAAGCCTGATGTTGTCTTTCACATAAAGTAATGATCCCAGTCCCTTCCACACAGTGAGGCATTAAGTGTATAATTAAGAATAGTCGATCGTACCCAAAGCCCAGGTATCGATATCCTGACTCAAAAAAGTCAGATCGGTGCATCGCTAACGGAATGTTGCAGGCTCTAACTTGGCCAGGCTTGGTCCAGGATTCCCCTAAATGTCGACTTTTTCTTTAAAGTCAGTAGACATTAGAGAGACATTTAAACAATTCCCCAAGTGAAATGAATGATTCAGAGACACAAACCAGTCTGGCAAAAAACACGTCTTTCTTCACCTTTGGCCAAGTTTTCATGACTAAAACTGTGTGTACGCACAGAGACAGATATATATGCATACAAGCCCGCACAAACACCTGATTCTCTTCTGTAAATCTCAATCACATGTGGAGCTGGACGCACATGCACAAGCCTCATTTCCACTCCCACAGTTTGCCAGAAATAGAAGTAGAAAAGCCCTTAAACATCAGTTTGCCACATGGATACTTGTGCTCGCTCCGGCACTCCAACAGCAGCTGTCATTACGCACGGCTGTGGCTACTTGTATAGCGTCCATACCACTATTTCATCACATGTCAGCCATCATCGTGGTCAATAATAATTATTATTAAACGTCACATGGATTATCAGTGATTTATTCGCAGCGCTCATGTTGAAACTTTAAGAAGTGCTTCACAATTCAGGATAAAAATAACCGATCATTAACTAGGAGATAATGCCTCAAAAGCTACAAGGCAACAGTACACATTGTTTGCAAGGTGTTTTTATATGTGCATGAATTCAGTATGAGAAATAGTTTCCTTTGTGTTTTTGTAATATTTCTAATCTTAGACATGTGAGTCCTGTCTGCGCTGTGTTGACACATCACTAATGATCCTAACTCCTGTGTGCCTCTGGGAAATTCTGGGCAAAAGGTCACGCTCGGCTTGCCAAAATAAACTTAATTACACAAATAATCCGAGAGCCCCAACGAGGTTTAGCCGATCTATACGTCAATGAGGCAGGCAGATAAGAGGCGGTAAATAAGGCGTAAACGCAGCTTGTAACTTTGTCCGCTCGCGCCATACGACACCGAGCCTCTTCCAGTAATTACCACACCGCTCCTGCATCCTTCGTTTGAAATCTGATCGTTGTCTGTCAATGATAACGCGCCGCAAGCCAGATGGCGAGTGCGGCCTCGGCTCCGCCACTTCATTAGGGAGAGGGAGTGCAGAGGAAAAGGGCACTGTGGAGGGCTGGATTAGCTGCTCGCTCTCTACCACTCCGCTGAGAGGCTTATTTGAAGCCTGTTGGGGCAGCGGAGGGTCTTCACCTTCTGTTCGTGTTCCGGCTGTAAGAGCCTCGTGTTGCAGGTCGAGAGGGGAGGAGGTGCAGGGGAAGAAAGGGAGGACTTGGAGAGGGTGATCTAGGGCACATTTACAGCTGTACTTTGTTTTGAGAAGCAAGAGGAAGGATAAAAGCCTTTGCTCCTAGTGGAGCAGCACCCTCTTGTAGTTAAATATAGTACTTGTACATATAATGCGGTTCTAAAGGCAGGAATGCTGTAATAAAGTACCTTCTCATGGTTTCTCTTTTCTTTTTCCCAGGATGAGTGAGCGATACACGCAGATCGGAAGTAAAGGGGCTCTACTTGTAATGGTGCTCGTGATCGGTGTCTGGGAGATGACCGTACCGACAGAAGGAGCTAGAGGTGAGCACGTTCAAACTGAATCTACAGCTGGTTGAACTCTAACCTCTCAAGTATACCAATGGAGTTGATCGCTGTATATAAACTTTAACACTTGTTTCTAATGGAAACAAATGCACGTTCCAATGAGGCTGACAAATAGGTTGAAACCCTCACTACCTGCTTCTGTCTTTATGTAATTTGTGCGAACCCCAACTTCATTAGAACTTAAATGTCAGCATGACACCACTTAGAGGTCGTTCACGTGCCGAGTGTTGTTTTTTGCGTTCCTCCATTGATGCCAACGCGCAGAAGGCGGCATGCAAGCATTCACAAGCGCCCGGAGATAAAAGTAGTTTCACTTTTGGAAAGCTGCAGCACGCACAGAATGTCATGTGACAAGGAACAACCAGCTGGCATCTCTTCTTTCTTCCGTAAAGTTATTCGATCTGTCCCACTGACTATTTTACTTGCTTTAGGATTTCCGTCCAAGGAGGTGACATCATCCGGTTGAGAGGTCAGCCAAACTGAAGATGACAAATGGAGCAGTAAAGCTACACTCAGGGATTTACGCTGCTGGAAATCTTAGTTACCGCAACCTCCCAAGCAACTTATTTCAATAAAACGATGAAAGCAGCATTGGCTGGCATTTTTCCACGAGTTTTTAAACGCAACGCGTGAACGGCTGTTGTCATAACTTGGTTGGTTGAGAAGCATAATTAGCATATCATCTGACAGACTTCCTTCCTGCTCTGACAGCAGCGCGGTTAATACATATTGGGATATACTCTTTCATTGATTTTGGTAGTGCAAAGGATAAAGATGGTGATACACTCCCCATGAAAAGACCAACAAGTGTTTCCTGTGTGGCCAAAGTGTGATGTATATTATTTCCCCTTCTGCCGTAGAGCTCCACTGTTGTTCACAAACTATTAAAAACACGTCATTGAGCCACACACTGTTGCACTGGATGTGCCTTCATGACTATGAACACACAATGGGTTATTTTGAATTGATCCCACATAAACCATCCTGCTGCCCGAAAATACTACAATACTAACACAGCACCAAACCTGTATCAATCTGCAACTGAAAGTAATCCCCAACAAATGCACCGTTTTGCTCCTGGTTGAATAACATTCACTAAAAACTACGATCCTCTGTTTGAGTAAATTACTGAGAATAAATGAATGCATATATTTGTGACCTATTTTTAAAGATTTGTATTGTTTTGAGAGACAATGAATTACTGGTTTTGGTCCGTTCATCATGCCAGGCTTTTCTGTTAAATCACTTTTATTAGATCCATATTCTCTAGGTGGCGAGCGGTAATTGCTTTAGTAATTTTAAGGAAATCTAATTATGAAAATAGTCAACAATTGATGCATCAGAGCCTAAGATGTTCTGACCTTTTGTCCCTTATCTGAGTCAAGCTCCAAAATCTTGCATCTTACATTACCCATAATGCAACTCAATAGATTCTTAATGTCCCCAAAGGGGAAACGCGTTTCCGCAGTGTGTGCATTATGCATGCCCCCAGAACATAGATACATTGTACATTACATATTCCCCCATTATATTAAAAAAAAAGACTCATACATAATGATTAGCGGGCGATGGGATTCAGCACCGCTTTGGCAGCACGGACTGTGTCATGGTAGCAAAGTATAGTGTTGTAATAATGCTTTGTGTTTTTGTAAATGCTTACATCTGTCAAACCCCACATGTAGTTTTGAATGCAGGCCTACTCTACCATTAAAATATAGTCTCCAAGCCCAGCCTCAGCTATCCCTCATGGCAGCACGAAGACAGAGAAGACAAACAACTGTTTCAGCATGCTGACTCAGACTCTGTATGACTAGGAAACTGATACTGATACCTTTGATATAGGGAGCAGGGAAGCTTTGAATGACAGGGATCACATCAGGTGACCTGCTGTTCATAGAACAAGGAAAACAAGGAAGCAGCAGAAATCTGATGATCACCAAAGACAATTGAAAAATTGGCTGGCGGCAGTGTTTTTCATCCTATTACATCATTCTACAAATGGTCCAAAAAAGTGAAACCATCGCTCCAGTCTTTGAATAAAGATGAGCAAATCAGGTCAAAGTTCTCCTCCACGTCTAGACAAGAACATCTGTCCTCTGTCGTCCACAAGCTCGTTGAGTCTCCGTCCGTCTATTCACTCGGCTCTGTAGAAACCAAATGGATTGTCGGAGGCGTCTTGGATTTGCTCATAGTGTGAGGCCTCAGCTCTCCATCTAAAACGAGAGCGCCCTGCTGCACCAATGCAAGGAAGGGACGCAGGAGGAAGCGGCCACCGCTTGTCATGCGAGGCGTTTGGAAAGGGATTTCTCACCCATGCAGGATCCCAGATAAAATGTCACAGTCGTAAATGGGGGAGTAATTGGACTGAAACGGCTATTTTAAAAGGTGTGATTCAAACCCGTCTCCCACTGCCTCATTAAAAGTGTTGTCGAGTCGCCAGTAGTGAACCCAGGGAGATCAATTATGACAACTCAGCAACATTACAAGTAGAGGCCAACCCACATGTTTCATCACTGGGAGTCCCACTGACAACACACGGCCTCAGGTAATTGGTACAGGCAGCGCTGGTGTCGGACAGGATGTGAGCGTGATCAAAAAATAAATATATATATATATATATATATATATCAGGCATACCCCTCTTCTCTTTGCCGTCCAATTAGACGGGAGCGCGGCGCTTTGATGTGCGTGGCTTTGATTGGCAGCGATCCCCCACTCAAGGCACTCATCATTTCAGCGGGAAGTGGATTGGAATAATCCCGCACGCATTCAGTTTCTCTCCGATGGCCGGCGGAAGCGCCCTGATTTTGGTGTTATTTCTGATGCTGTAAACTTATTATCATTCGGGGGATGAAATGAACCCAGAACATTGTCCAAAGTAGAGAAAATGTATTTCTTCTCACAGAACACAAGACGAAGAGAACTACGCCTACCCTCTGACAAGCAGGGACAATCTAGTGTTGATGTTCTAATGCACACATGAGCTTTCACTTCCCTAAATAACCGGTATCTGTGAGCACAGACGGGATCATATTCAAACATGCCTGTCTACTCTCTGACAGTTGTGTTAATTCAGTTTATTTGCCTCTCTGGTATGTGAGAAAAGAAGGTCTGATTTATCCTCTGCTACTGTGGATGTTTACAACACAAACTTAAAAAGTGTCATTGGTGTGCGTGTCCTCTATTGACCAGAAGGCAGGTAGAGCAGAGGATCAGGTCCAACAGGATTCAGTCCCAGCCGGACCCACTTGGCTCCCGATGTTGTGGTGACTTCTGATTTATCTTCATTAGCATCTATTGTAATGGATCCGTTGAGTTACCCGCTTTCCTGAGCTTGTACGTGCCACCATCCAAATTCAACTCATCAACAACATTAAGGGTACTTCAAGCTTAAGTTCGGCAGTGTTTGATTTCACTTCCTGGGATAATTGTGCTGATTCTACTTGCGTTCCATCATATATGTACGCTGTATCATGGCAGCAGCAGGAAATAAAAAAAGGATTGGAACTCATCAGCTGTCCACTGTCTAATACGGCATAAAAATGAAGTATAAAAGGAACACAACGTATCAACAGCCCGTCGTGAGCTATTGCTTGAATCTGCTTCACATCATCAGGAAAATGGAGGCGATACATCTCCACCTGGCTTTAACACCGCAGCATGTCCCTGCACACACAGCGCCTTCCGATTTTATGGTTGCCCAAATGGGTGTCGAGAGTTTAAATTCTGACCTTCAAAATTGTGCTAGCGTGATCCCTGCAGACACACACCGCAGCCTTGGATTTCAGTGTCCACAATGGGAAACCACTTAGTAAGAACCAAAGCAAGCGGGTTGCTAAGGGGAGCTTGAACCCGAGTGGAATGAAATTGACTGGTTCACACTCCGTTTCTTTTAGAACGTGTACTGTAGTACACTCGGGCGGTGCAGCGGTAGTTTCAGTGGGACGTCTCTAGAGCTGCTTCCCTTACTGGTTGTAAATGTTTCACCGACGTGTGACCTCCATGTCTGATGTACTGCAAGTCTTCTTGTGTTATACGCATCAAAGATTGTTGCTTGCTCTGCACCTTAGACTCTCTGCACTTTGTAATAAAAATGACGTATGTGATGAATAAGAAGCATCTTGCCAGGGAAGGAAAACACTGTTCGTACCCTTGAGGGAGCCCTAACTAACAGCCAGAGACACTCCCCATGTTAAACACAGCAATCAATCCACACGCTCAGTACTTTACGTTGAGTTTGGCTCAAAGATGGATCCTCATCCGTCACTCTTCTAAACTGCTACAGACAAAGCAACAAATAGTTTGAGGGGGAAATCTGTTCATGCGCTATTAACATGACACTTCTACACCTCATTATGTAGGTTTGCACAGAGGGAATTAAACTCATCAAGATTATTTCTCTATATGAGAGCTGGTATTTGTGGCCACACGCAGCATCGTGTGCAAAGCAAAGCAATGATTACATTATCATTCACAACAGCTTCGTGAATGATACAAAGCGTGCATCATTCGCAGTTTCTCCAGCGTCTCCGGAGACCAACGTATAAAAGCTTCTCAAGCAGAGTCATGAGAGAGAAATGGCCCATCACGTCCCCATGAAAGCAACTTCGCTTCAAAGGATTCGCTGAAAGGAACAAAAGTCTGGTAAACACAATACCGTCTGATAGTCAGCATCAAGTGTTGGGAGTTAATGTTACAATTCCAAGCTGCTGTTGGGGTTCAACAATCTGCTATGGTTTTACAAGGGGTCAGACTATTACTCGGCCGTTTCCTGCCTGGCAACCTCAGAGTGATGGGTCTTTTTTTTTCCATGTTGGTTTTAGTACGGTACAAACAAACATGCTAATTCAAAGAAAAGTCAGGCCTTTCCCCCTCTCTCCAGCCTTTATGCTAAGCTAAAGAGAGAGGGAATGGATAGGAGGGTTTTCCCAAAATGTTGACTGTTGCTTTACATTCAAATGGGTTCATTTTTTTTACCTGCGTTATTTCCTACCTTGTAGATAAATATGTATTCGTCCTTTCAGAATTTCATTGTGTGCCATACAAATGTCAGATATATAAACAGACTACATCACCTATAATATACCGAAAACAACAACAGACATCATCTACATCCTGATTGTGACATCCTGATTATGTTGCAAAAAAGTACCGATATCGACATATCGACATGAGAGCGAGGGACAGATGTAAAAGGATTTTTAAAGAACAGGTAGAAGAGGAAGATGTGGTAGAGGGGTTCATTCATGAGGGAGAGGACAGCAGATCCCAAATGTCTCCTTCGTTTGTTGAAAGTGATGCCTCGGTTCATTTCAGACATTCAGTTCTTCGTGTTTTACATCATCTTTTAATACAGGCATCTTGAAATTAGGGTTTTGTTCAAAAACAACATTTTGGAGAGAGAGAGAGAGAGAGACAGAGAGAGAGAGACAGAGAGAGAGAGAGACATGTCACTTAACGTAACAACCCGTCAAGAAATCGTTGATATTGACGTCCACCCTGTCAACAAATCTTACTAATTGTCTATTTTAATAGAGCCAAAACAGGAAGAAAATGGCCAAAACCTTATTATGGTAATTATCTATTTAAAGGCAACATAATTGTTTATGGATGGAGTCTAAAATGAGCCCACAAAAGTAAAAGTTTAGACTATTTTTTCTGAGATAGGCTAATTAAAAGTTAATGTTTCCTATTGAACTTTCTGTGCAAAAATATTGCACTTAAAGTAATTTCTGCTTTGTTTAATTACCATGCAATCACTATAAACATGTCCTTGTTGGTCTGAGACTGGGCTATGCATGGCCAGTTAGACCCTGGGAGATTGTGTCGGTTGGCTTTTACTACATCATATCACTAGACCTGTCAAAGTAAGCACTTTATCTTATTTTACTTATGTATTCAAATTTCTACATTCAAAGTTTTAGCGTCAAAATGTTATTCTTTTCCCAAACACTTTTTCTCACATGCTCTGTTGAGGGTTTGTACACGATGACGTTGCTACATATACACGCATACATACATACACATACATATACATAAGAATGTACTTATCCATAGTCAGTTTGTATAGCTTACAGTAACTTAGCAGGCTCCCAGCTTCACGTTGGTTTCAGATCCCAAAGTCACACAATAACACGAACCAATGCAAATGTATTCTATGCATTTCTTTCCCTTTGGAGATGCAGGCAGTTCACATGGGTAGAGAGAGAGAAGTGAACAATATGCAACAGTATCAAGCTGGGGCTGCTGCGGCTCCATTCTGGTACGGTTCCTATAACCACCAGGCCACCAGGACATCCTTGAATCCTGTCATTTAAATTACATGGCATCGCGCTTGTCTTATAAAACTTTGAAAGACACAAACCCACAAAACACAAGTTCAGCAGCAGCAGAAACGTGTCCAGAGCCCGAGGGATCCTCTCTGTCACAGCGGCTGGCGCGGCAGCTTTAAAGCTGGTTTGCAGGACAGACCCGATTCCCCAGTGAAATGCTTCTCTCTGTATCTGCTGGCAGGGGGAAGCCGAGCGGGGATCCAAGTAGAGACTCCAAATCCAGTCAGAAAAACCACAGCCGCTCAGTGTGAAGCATGTCCTTTAGAGAGGGATACTGGCAGCACTTCTCTTACATCTAAAAGAGCTCGGCTTGCTGTGTGTTTGTCTTTCATATCTCCTCTTGTCCGGGCCAGAGCATGAGTAAGCCCCTTGCTGCTTTTTTGGGGGGGGCGACTGCTACTACCTGCTTTATTGTTGATGTGTTAGGATGGATGAGTAGGGGTTAGGGTTAGACGTGCTATCAAATTTTGGGCGCCTGATGAAAACAGAACTTTCTAAATTGCACTTTTCTACCAACGGTTTGCTTAAATGTATTCTAGCAGCGGCTACGAGAAATGCAATTAGACACGGGAGGTAACCCACGTGGCAGGAGGAGGAAAACATATGGTGCGAGGAATATTAGACTCCCGCTTCATTTAAATCCACTGTTTTCTGAGTTTTTTCCAAAAATACAAAAAAATAACAGGTAAATCTCTGAGGAGTAGTGATGCGCTACAGTTGCAGAACATCTTTGTCAGGTTTAATATAATTCGGTCTCGGCAGAGCAGCTGACTCCATCTCCGTTAGTCTCAGTGGCTGCCTGTTACAGCAGCGGGAAAGTGCCGCTGTCCGCCAACGTAACACGCCGGAGTGAAAACGTATTTAAGTGGGTTTAGTTGACGGTACAGTGCAGTGCAGTTCAGACCAGTTTCACGCAGTCATTTCAGATTTACTGTTTACTGCAGCAACAGTGAGCATCTTAGCAGAAGGACACCTCAAGAAAATGTCACATGCAATTAAAAGAGAATGGAGCAGCTCGGGCTCTAAATAATTCAGACAATGGAGTGTGATCTGGAAATTGGCCCCAAATACTGCAGCGCTGCACTTTCCCCTTCACATGTCTGAATTTTTTTTAATGCTGCTGCCTGTTGTGGGAAATCTGGAAGGGTATCAGTTCCAATCATTACCATCTCATACTTGAGTTATTACAGTATTTATTAAAAAAGGAACCCGTTAAAAAAAAAATCAAAAACACTGATCAGGAAATGTTCCTGATTGGTTACCTCCACTACGCTGCTTTGCTTGTGAAACAGTTGTCTTTGGCCTTTGAGGTGAGCTCTCTAAAGTCTGAGACAATAACCCCGATGATGTCTTCAGGAGCTTAAAGTGGAGTTTATAGAAACATATTTACATTCAGTGTTTCTTACCATAATGCAGCAGTCAGCAGTCATTCCCATATCAGTACATCTGCACATTGTTTTTGGAATTACTCTCACTGCCAGAAGGGTAGAAAAAAGAAGAAAGAAAGGTCTGCACAGAGAGAAATTCTAGTTCATCTAGCCGTCTGTCTATAAGCTATCGCCAAGTTGTTAGCTCTTGATTTAATTCATTATGGTTATTATATAAAAACTTTTAATAATGTCCACCGCTTCTGCGGTTAGAGTAGTTACAAAAACACAGTCAACATTTGCATTTTGGACACCGACCGCTGACACCCTCACAACTCCAAAAACATCTCCGTAAATATCCAAATGAGCCTCATTTGGATAAACTGATCAATATTTCTTTGGCAATCTGATGATAAACCTGGCCAAGGTAAGCAAAGTAAATGAAGCACCGCTCTAACACGGAAGTAAGAACACAAAAATATGGCAATTTTGTGGAAGTGCCCCATTTAAGAATAAGGTGAATAAATGAGCAATTCACCCCCAAAAAGCTGTAAGCCGCTCTAACAAAATGACACTTAGAAAAGAATAATGCACATAAAGAGAGGAAAATGGAACCTCCTGTGATAAAATACCCCATATAAAAGGAAATAGGGAGTCAGCTCTCCCTGGTAATTTCTTCATTATTGAGACAGATTAGACGAATGCAGAGCAGACAATAGAGACCCAAGAGAGATATTCTTACGGGACTCAATCCAAGGCCAGCAGTGTGTGACTGTGTCTGTGTGTGTGTAGATGTGGGTAATAACTATTGCACCAAAGCCTCACTGATTATTCCATCTCTCTGTTGTCTCTCCAGCAGTTCACCATGTCCCAACAGGCACCTGCGAGGTGGTGGCGTTGCATCGCTGCTGCAACAAGAACAAAATCGAGGAGCGGTCACAAACTGTGAAGTGCTCCTGCTTTCCGGGGCAAGTGGCCGGCACCACCAGAGCCGCCCCGTCGTGTGTCGATGGTACGCTCCGGCTGAATATTTCATGGGCCATCTTCTTTTCTTTCTCTCCCTCTTTTTTTTTTTTTTGCTGACACTCCTTTCCACAAATCTTGAGGATTAGTTTTGCTGAGATCATCGATAAGTGTTTTAGCAGACGCTGACTCACTCAAGTGAAATTACTTAAACACGATGCTGTCAGGGGGAAACATGTAGTGTAGTCTGTCTGAGATCATTCATACATGTGTTGTGGAAAAATTAGGTAATTAATAACAAATCCTAAAAGGGAAAGTGATTTTTATTACCGCACATTACTACACAGATCTTCTTATGAAATATGAGGAAGGGACTGGGGATAACTGCATATTTATATCAAGTATCAATGGACTTAAATATGGAAATCTTACAATGAAATCTTCATATGCAGTGGACTTTCAATCAATCCATTGATTATTTATCTTAATTAATTGTTTTATCCTCAAAATGTTAGGATTAAAGTGCTCACTGTTCATCTGGCCTTAAAGGCTCTGCTGGAGGTCCAATGAAAAGTGGTACAAGAGAGAAGAACACTACAGTCTGCATAGTCCATTTAATTACGGTCACATGCTGTCAGTCATAGAACCAAACAAGAACACCTACGGCGTGTATACACATTCATGTGCAAAGCATTTGTGTTTCCCACTGACAAGATGTCAGGTTAGGGCAGAAAGGTAGCAGTGGACGAACCCAAATGCAGAGAGACAGGGAGCAGAAGGATATTTAACTGTGATTTTAATAGAGAACAGTCTGAGAAAAGTATCAAAACAAAACTTGCAGAAGAGGGGAGTCCGTAAATGTGTACTTTAAAAAATCCAAGGAAAAACTAAAGAGGTAAAACACAAAACAGTATCAGGTAATTCAGGGGAAACCAGCAGCGAACATACCGAGAAGCATCGCAGATCAGAGCAAAGCATACGAACCAACACAGAGAGGGGAACACAGGGTTTAAATACACTGGGGAGGTGATTAGACACAGGAGGATTCAATCAGAGGCGGGGCAGACAATCACACAGGTGGGAAAACAAAGGAAGGAAGTGAAGTTAACATGGGACACAAGAGGCAGGGAAACTACAAAATAAAACAGGAAACAAACTAAAGAGACTGTGACACAGGATCATGCTGAAGGATACTGCATTTAATGCAACACTCCATAAACAATGATGCTATTACAAACAACAGGTGGATGCTGTCGTAAGTCCAAAATAAGTGGAGGAACTTAAAAAACAATTGGGAACAACTGTCTTAATCAGACACTTATTATATTGTAATTTATTCCCATAATGCTGCTCAGAGTAATCACAGCGACCTGGCTCGTCTGCCGACAGCGCGGAGCTGAACGGCTAAACGTTAACGGACGTCACGTTGACTTGCAGTATGATGCGGTTGAGCTCAGTATGGTAGGGATAAAGAGTGTTGAGGAAAGGTACATTTTAACGCTATCGTGTAAAATGTAGTTTTTGCCGAGAAACTTAAAGAAAGTCAGTTGTTTGAAGAGAGACGTTTTCACAGCGATATAGAACAGATAATAGAGAGGGAATTACCCCCGATTCAGCTGAAGTGGCTGCTCCACTTTGGTCTGAAGGGCGCGGGTTCCAGGCTAAACTCTGGACCCAATCGTGTCTGACCTATTCCTTGACATTTTAGAATTGACATTTTCTGCAAATTAGAACTGTGAGCCACTGGCCTCCGTTTAAAGCTCCACGGGTGATCTCAGAAAAAAAAAGAGAAAATGTTTGGCACTTAACCTTTTAATTATTCTTTCTTCTGCAACCAGGGGATTACCTTTAGCTCAGCTCTGTGTGAGACAATCTTCTCCAGATATACGAGGACAAATGAACCTCCGGATGTCTGAGAAAACTTGAATAGATTTGAATGTATAATTCTATAATTCAGAGAGACAGCCACAGAAAATACCTGCAGATGTGACTGAGTGAAGTTTCCCCAAAAAAAAGTGTCTTGATCGAATTATGACTTTGGACAAAGTGTTGTGATATGGTAAAGAAAACTTAAAAAGGCAAATTGTATCATAAAACATACATCATGAGTGGATTTGTTTATACCTGATAGATGAATGAGACTTAATGAGAGACTCTCAAGGGACCACGACAACAGAATATAACTTGTAAAAAAAGGAAGAGGAAGAGTTTGACAGTTTGGAAATACGTACAATACACATCTGCTTTCTTGCCGAGAGTTAGATGAGAAGATTGATACTTATGTATGTATGGTAAATATGAAGCTGCTGCAAGCATCCGGTTAGCTTAGCTTAGCATAAAGACTGGAAGCAGGGGGAAACAGCTAGCCTGGCTCTGTCCAAAGTTGAAAATCCACCAAGTAGCAACTTGAAAAGCTCAATATTTAACACATTGTATCTCTCGTTTGATTCAAATTATTTTTCGAAGGATGGTATAGTTCCCAGTGAACATCAAATAGTACACGCAAGACACTCAAAAATACTTAAACTTTAACTCTTCAGTCCTGGCACATGATTGCAATTAAGGCATTTGAACTTACTTCCTTGATTTTTCAACAGTTTTTGAAAAAACGTATGTATAACGGATGATATATCAGTGTGTGTGGCCTTTACGTTCATCAATAGATGAGGAAAACATTACTGATTCTTAATGAATATGAGCTCAAGGTCAAAGCAAAAGATTTTTGGAACATTTCCAAAGGCTACAATCAAGGAAATAAAATGAAATAAAAAGCACAAATCTATTTTTTGCTCCCAGATGTTTTCAGCCGAAAGCCGCCCTCCTGTTTCCAAAGCGTCATTAACCGTTAAGTGAAACGTATCCCATGCACTATACCCACGTCTGGTTATCAATACTCCCATTACATTTCACGAGAAAACCTCTGTGGCTTTTTAATAGCCGCTGTTACACAACCACCATCTGCTTGCAGTTTGACCCGACGCACGCTCCGCACCACACTGCTGCTATAGCCGCGGCAGTGTGGTACAAATTGATTCCCTCATGTCATAAAGCATCCATCCTCTGCAACTCGGCGAGGCCCCGGTGTTATGTGTGGATTACAATAGCAGTGCTCTTCATTAGGAGAGGACACTAATGCTGGTGCGTGAACGTAGATAATGACCTCTGTAATATGCCAAATTGAAATGATGTCTCGTACAAACGGAGTAGCAGAAGCTTAATGTGCTCCTTTATGGAGGCAAGTCACTGCAGCTAAAAGGTCCCCCCCCCCCCCTCCGTCACTACCCCACAGATTAGTGACATA